GGCTCAATAAATAACAAAGAAGACCTTTGACCGGCACTTTTCAAATTTTGTCCGGAAGATTTCAACTTTAACGGACATGTTGACCAGCGAAAAAATATTCTAACGGGAACTCCGAGTAGTTTATTGTGTGTGTATGGCCACGTCTTACCATTACATTAGTGAGTGTTTAACTAGAATCACAGCATGAGGTTGATTATGTTGCGTTGCTATGGTTACTGACTTTCCAATTTTGGCTAATGCAGATTTATAATAGTGATAGATATAGGTATAATTTATACCTATATCTATATACCTTTATTAGTATACTAATAGTGTTGAGTTAAGATAAAGCAACTGGTCAATATTTCATGTACAACATTAAAAAGGGACAGTTCCCCCCCAAATCCAAAACATATGGTCACACTACAAGTTCCTTTAAACAATAGTGCAATTGATCAATTAAGGCTGTTTTTGTGAAAGTAACTATTACAATTTAACTGAACTACACCAGCCCACTGTGTCGGCGCGCAGAAGGGATGTTGCCTCTGCTCTGGAGGGAGGTTTGTGATGGTGCGAGGTGTAAACATTAATAGCGTCCTTCTCGGCTGAGCTGAAACGTTAGGGTGTTCAGTTGCTAGCATATGAGCCTCTCACTCAAGAGTAGCTGTGTGGTGATAGGGTTGAAACCACAAGCCAGGAACCAGATAGTGCCAATATATTCAAAACAAGGCACATATTATATTCCTACGATATCTCCAGCACTCTGCAACTGGTACCAAAATAGTCTAAACGAATAGATAGCACTACAGTCAAGAGGGCAGATAAGTATCTGATTTTGGGGAACTGTGTTGTGTTAGAACCTGGAGGTGTGAGGTTGGATCCAGAGGGCGCCGGAGCAATGGGTTTGTAGCTCATGGCGAGTTCGGGAGGCAGCTCCCCATACGATGCGCCACTTCCTTCCGACCCGTCAACCCGGTGCTTATACAGCTTTACTGGCGGTTTTGAGCTCCTAAGAGCTGATGCAAAGAAAAAACAAACACACAGAAAAACACATAAATGTATGTTCATCAAGTGTGCAGATATCAAAGGAGTGGAAATGAATTCTTAAGCATGTTTACAGCTTTTTAGGATATACCCTACAGAAATATAACAAGGTAGCTCAATAGCAAACAGAACCCAACCCTTGATATATCTCTCAGTTTATGACATTAAAACGGAAAGTATTGCAAATATTTTGCCAAAATAATGTCAACATTTGTGATCTTGCTTATATGTTCATACATCGAGAACAATAAATATGAGCCGTTAATGTATGAAGTTTTCATTCACACAGATCTTTACAAGGCCTGTGTTTCAAGTTCATCGGTAATGTGTAGGAGTTCTCGTGTCATTTTAACAGCTATCATAAGAGATGACATGAACAAGGAGAGAAAGATGCAGATCCTTGGATAGCTTTGAATGAGTCAAGCTTCATGCTCACTGTCCTTTGCATGCATTTATCTTTAGAAAATCAGACTGCCATGCATTACCACCAGCTTTCAAGAAATGTATCATAATCCGTGATAGCAAATAATGACATACTGACTGAGTAGTTGGCTCTAGCTGCACCAAATAAACTACTTTAAATGTAACAAAAAAATTCCCTTTTACAGCTAAAACATATTTTAAAACTTCACATACTTAATGGTTCCCAGAGAATTAAAAAATACTGCTTGTTTTATAAAATGATCTCCTTAAATAATCCTCACCATCACAATGCACAAAGTGTATGTCTTTGGCTATGCTGTTTCTTAGTTTAATCCTGCATTTTCCTTTAAACATGGTTTGCATCCTTTAAGTGTGTGTTTCATGTTGTCATTTCTGCTTTATTGAACATTAATTTGACATTATGTAAAGCACTTTGAAGTGTGCTCTACGAATGATCTTCTCTTAAACAAACAAGACTTTACATATTATTATCTTATTAGGTTATTTTTTATTATATCATTATTATTATTATTATTATTATACGTTAGTATTGTGAACAACAGAGTTGCACAGCAACAGTTTGTTAATTGTGATGATCTTTTAGATACATATATTCTGTGTAAATGTGAGACGAAACGATTGACATTACAGTTCATCCCTCATAAAAGGTACCTTCAATTAAGACAGTGTTCACTTCTCATTCAAATCTGGTCAATATCACATCTGATAACAAGTTTGGTATGAATTTAACTTGATCAGTTTTATGTATTCAGGCACCTTTCAGAGCGAGGATTATGTTGATGTGATCACCAGAGTTGGGGGAGTGAAACAAAAGCTGACGTTAGCTTCAGGAAGGTGAGGAAGAGCTAACTACTACTAGGTAATGTTAGCTAGATTAGCTAAGGCTAGCTGTCGCCGGTTAGCATAACAACAAGTAGGACGCAGGAAAATAGTCGTGATGCAAAGTAGATATTTCATATACAGACAGTGAATGATATAGAGGTTATCTACACTCGGAACCATTTAGAAGACTATAAACGTGGGGAATGTCCTCACCTTTGTAAGCAGACTTTGAAAATCCTCTGTGAGAAGACAGCTCTTCCCGTGTGTGAGTCTGCGCGGTAGTGATGCGTAGTGGAGTACAGTTTTTTTACTTTTAAAGCGACGTGATTGGATGATTGAGTTACCTATGACGTCTGTTTCAGAGATGTCATCACGTACAGTAACCACAGCGCCAAACATGAAAATTAGTTCCTTTTTATAAACTTTAAAGGTGATGGATTTGATACAAATATTGTTTTTTTTATTCAACTTATTTTAATTTTAGGAAAATGTCATATTCACAATAAGAAATGGCCTGACTAAAAATCTAATTTGCACATTTTTACTTAGAATTAAAACAGTATGCCACCACTATTACAAATATTCATAATAAGAAGCCAATCAAAACTAATTTCTAAAGTATAAAGTATCAATTGTATTTGATCAATATTTTACTTGAAATGTTCACTTTTGTTTGTTTTTTCCGTTATAAGATAAGATGTACTTTATTAATTAATCCCAATTTGGGAGAAGAAATGTGATGCAGAAGCATAAAAAAAACCAAGGTATTGCACATAATAACAAATTAAAAGAGTAGAACGATAAGATAAGAAGTACTTTATTGATCCCAATTTGAGAAATGTTTGCGTTGCAGCAGCATAAAAATACAAGGCATTGTACATTGGAGAAACTAAAAGACTAGAAATAAACAATCAAAGATGTAAACGTCTCAAATAGAAGTAAAATAGCATTAAAAAAGTAAAAAATATACATGTGGAAATACAAATCTACAGTAACAAAATATAAGCAGGATATTATATATACATTAAGTGTGCAAGGAATGGATTATTAAATATTAGATTGAACATAAATATAAAATGTACAGTGTGAATGTTATAAGTCCAGTTAACCAAGGACAAACTGTGGAGAAGTGAGTTCTCTTCCAGCCAGAGGTGAGTTGTTATATAGAGTTATGGCAGTGGGCAGGAATGTTTTCCTGTATCGGTCCTTGTGACAGCGGAGCTGCAGCAGTCTGTTGGAGAAGGATCTCCGCTGTCTGTCCAGCTGCAGGTGGAGATGAAGGAGGGTTATTCATGATGGACAACAGCCTGTTCAGTGTCCACCACAGCTTCAAAGGGGTCCAGTTTGATGCCGAAGACAGAGCCAGCTTTCTTTATCAATTTGTTAAGTCTGCTGGTGATGCTGCCCCCCAGCAGACCGCAGCAAAGAAGAGTGCACTGGCCACAACCGACTGGTAGAAGATCTCCAACATCTTGCTGCACACGTTGAAGGATCTCAGCTTCCTCAGAAAATAGAGTCTGCTCATCCCCTTCTTGTACACAGCGTCAGTGTTGATCCTCCAGTTCGGTCTGTTGTCTAAGTGCACTACTTGTTATCCTCCACCACAACAACATCCTCTCCCAGAATGCACTGGGGCAGTGGAGACAAAAGTATAGTAGTGGGTAAAAGGCATAGAGAGGGCGATTTTGAAGCCAGGCTGAGTGGTGGAGGTGAAATGTTGATTGGAGGAGACTGCAGAGGGCGGAGAGCTAAACCTATTGAAAAAGGTGTTGAGTTTGTTAGCTCTCTCTCCAGGGTGCCTTCAGTTAGTCTATCTCTCCCCTTGAACCCCGTCATGGCCTTCATCCCATTCCAAACCACCCGGCTATTGTTCCGTTGGAGCTTGGCCTGCAGCTTCTTCCTGTAGAAATCTTTGCTCAGCCTCAGCTTGTCCCCTTATGTTTATTTCTTTAAAATGTAGGATTTGTTTGTTCATTGATATTTTCTTGAATAAAGGGGAAATAAAAGAGTTTAACTGGTGTGCAGTTATTGTGTCATTATTCCACATATATCACGTGAACATTTCTTAAACCATAACTTGTTTAGTTTAAGGCTTGATGCTTTTTAAACGTGGGTGAATACAGTGAACAATGCTATTTACACCCGGGTGACTATAGGCAACAATGCTTTATGCACCCAGGTGAAAATAGTGAACAATGCTATTTGCACCTGGCATTGTTCACTACAGTCACCTGGGTGCAAATACCATCTGCCTTTTTATTTTGCCACAACAGTATCAAAGAAGCCGAACTGGTTTACTTACCACCATAGATGTATAAAGAGAACTCCCTCTGCAAAGTCTTCCTATCAATACCATTTTACTTGACTAAACTAGCTAAATCAACTTGGCTCAACTAGTTACATTAGCTCATATATAACCATTTCATTTAGATTATAAAAACAGTGAGAAAAACCTAGCATTTTCGTAAAGGGTATATTTGTGTTTAATGTATCCTACATTTGTATCCCTCACTCCAAAGACTATCTCTAAAAAGATGTCTTCAACTCCAATTATGACATGACTTTTGGAGCAGGCTTTGCCGCTTCTAGTCTAATGTATCACTTTAGGCATTATGTGACAAGGTGAGGGAGAGGGGTTTTTTGCTGGGTGGGTATAGCTGAATGGCTATGGTGTAGTGTAGCCCTTCTCCCGGGTGCATATATCCACCCCTTTAGTTTAATGCATGAATATTCATCAGGTGATCATGGCGGTACTTTATGTTTTTCTAGAAGGGCAGGTGTTGGACAGAAAGGACTAGCCGTGCTTTTGACAGTTCCCACCAGGTACAATGAGATGAGTTTTATCTAATGAAATTCCCTGGCTGAAAGAACATGAACAATAACAAAAGAAAAAGGAGAGTGCAAAAATGTACCCTGTTTGACACAAAAGGGTACCATGGGCGGGTAAAAGTAAATTAGCTAATTCTGCTGGGTTTAAAAAAAAAAGGAGATAATGGATTATCCAGTCCCTTGCACATTACCAGTTATGATGACAGACATTTCTTAGACTTAGACATTTGCCGGTTCTTTGGTTGAATGAAAAGTGTCTACTTGAATGCAACACCTCGTGTTTTTAGGCATGATGGAATTCGTCTTTTAGGCCTGGTTCTCAAATGTGTGATAACTATCCTTTTTGCTGTGTTATTGAGCATTACTTGGACAGGTTTGAAAAAAATTATGTGACATTTAGTTTTAAATGTGATGCAAAATACTTGTCTGTTACTAAGCTACAGTCCAAATCAGCGTAGAAATAAAAGCCAGTGACAATAATTAAGGATGATTACAGAGAAAAGCAGGATCAGCTATGGATAGGCTTTTAAGCAGATATATAAAGGGTATTTGGATAATTAAGCAGGTATTTGGCTCAAACCTAAGGCGCATTCAATACCGAAGAAACCCTTGATGTGTCCCCATTAAAATATTGAAAAATCGCAATGACTAAGAATGACATTATTTCAAGTTTCTGGGATGTACCTGTGAAGTGTCACAATGAGAGGAATAGATGTTATAACAAATATTTGATACTTAAAAATAGAGTCTGAATCGTCTGGTTCATTCAACAGTTTAATAATGGCTCAGTGATTGGATCATCTTTCTTCTTTTAGGCTAAAAGATGGATTCAACTAGCTTGAGCTGTGTCACCTTTTATTCAATAGTGCGGGTTATTCATTATTGGTTCACCAGAGCAGTTGAAATTGGAAATTAGTCTGCACTCATGGCAGGGAAGCAATCTGACAAATTTCTCCCTAACCTCTTAAGCCCTGAGCCTGTTTTTCAGGTTTCAGGCTCCAAAATGCCACTAACACAGCAAAGACTATATCTTCACTTCTAAAAGGGGTAAATTAATCATCTTTTCTCTCAAAGCAAGGTTACATCTGTGAGTTGGATGTAGAAGTGTCAGAATCAATATAGATGTTTTTATTTTAAAGTAAATTCAGATGGAACATAGTAAAAACATGTAAATTCTAATGTCCGCTTAAAAAAAAAACATTACTTATAAAACCACCCTTGAATGATGGGTTAGTAGACTAATACAGTTTAGGAATCGAAACTATAACAAATAATAAGTACCCTGTATCAAGATTGATGCAAAACAAGTGAAATTTGACCTTTTTAGAGAGGTTTAGAAAAATAAAGTCCAGGCGGACTCACCTCTGGGTAATTTGGGAACCATCAGTTCCATTTGACCTTTTTCACTGTAAAAATCATTTTATTACTTTGAATTATCACTATAGGTATTCATTCCATCCAAATACAACTGTTGTGAAAAAATAAAAAAAACATACTTGTTATCCTCTTAGGCCCCACAATACTAACAGTGAGCCTCTGGATTAGCCCCGAGCGAAAAATGCTAACCTATTACTGCACCGAAAATCACTCCTAGCTCCCTTATTACTTATCCTAGCTGCACATCCAACACATCGTTTATGATCGTAAAGACACAGAATCTAACGGTGCCCACCTCAACACTGAAAGATACAAACTCGCGACGTTATCAACAAAAACGTACATCAAAACAAGTGGCGCTAGGTAGCCCACAATGCTAACATGGTTTACCTTCGTCGTCTTTGTCTGGTCTAAACTGGTCTTCAATGGCATTAAAACGATAACAACGATGATGTAGTTAATCCATAGGTTAATATCCAATGTGGCTGTTTCCCCTTTGAAATGTTCTGATAATCTATAAGCAATAAAACTGCAATTCCGTTATCTGCTGTCCGCTCTGTGCTCCGTGCACTCTGGGTCCTGCAATTCATGCAATTCCTTACGGTAGTAAACAATAAATGAAGTCGGCTGTGAATGTTCTCACGCTGGCTGGCATTCTTCATACTTTACGCAGGACCATATCTCTGGAACCCATTGGTCGATTTGGGTGATTTACACCTTTTTCTTAACCAAAATATCCAATAGAATCGAGGGGCAGTTCCCAAATCCACGTAAACATTACCATTGAGGACGTAATAGAGAAGCAAACAAAGCATATCTGAAAGTACAAGCCTGGACAGCAAAACGTTATACCCAGTATATTGCCATAAATATGATGGTGGATTATCAGTAAAAATGTCTACGTGACACAAAGACATTGGATTAACCTTGAGCGGGGTTTTTATTCCGGTGAACACAACTTTTGATCACAAATCAAAAAAGGTAAGACGTAATTATTGTAATATTTTTGAAACCGGATGTTGTTTAGTTTCTCTTTTCTGGATGATAGCTCCGCAATTCGGGGTCCTACAGTGATGAAATTACATGTGTGGAATATGTTGAGTCTCAGCTTTAATCGGATATCTTGTTTGTGCAGTGACGATAAGTAATAAGCGCATTGCTACCGTGAGTGCTGTGCAAACGTCCGTTAGCATTAGTTAGCATTTTTTCGCTCCATGCTAATTCAAAGGCTTGGTATTACTCTTGTGTTTCTTTTAGCGAAACATGGTTCATATTGTTAGTTAGCTGAGTTTCTTATCGTTAAAAGGGTATAGAACATTAATAGTTTCATAAATGTTAAGAAGCCCTGAGACATAGTCTCGTAAAAAAGCGGTGGGGTGGGTCCACTGGGGGGACCCTCTGGGTTAAGAGGTTAAGATATACTTAAATTATCACCTGCAGAGGGATCTAGATTTACAGATGTAGCGATTCATTTCAGACGACAGTTTGAAACGCGAGGGCCGTGATTGGTACGTGATCTGCCCTCGCTCAAGGGAAAACCTCCAGCTTGACTTGAGACCGCCCCCGTGATAGATAAATGTAATTATAATGNGTCCTGATTTCTCCTAGTGGCTTCCAAACGGTGGTTTTGACCTTCCTAACCCTGTGAGATACTCAAAGCTGAAATGGCACACTGTGGAGATTTTCTTGAAAGTTCTGTTTACATTCAACATTTCTAATTATACAGTGGGGCAAAAAAGTATTTAGTCAGCCACCAATTGTGCAAGTTCTCCCACTTAAAAAGATGAGAGAGGCCTGTAATTTTCATCCTAGGTATACCTCAACTATGAGAGACAAAATGAGGAAAAAGAAAATCCAGAAAATCACATTGTCTGATTTTTAAAGAATTTATTTGCAAAATTATGGTGGAAAATAAGTATTTGGTCAATAACAAAAGTTCATCTCAATACTTTGTTATATACCCTTTGTTGGCAATGACAGAGGTCAAACGTTTTCTGTAAGTCTTCACAAGGTTTTCCACACACTGTTGCTGGTATTTTGGCCCATTCCTCCATGCAGATCTCCTCTAGAGCAGTGATGTTTTGGGGCTGTCGCTGGGCAACACGACTTTCAACTCCCTCAAAGATTTTCTATGGGGTTGAGATCTGGAGACTGGCTGGCCACTCCAGGACCTTGAAATGCTTCTTACGAAGCCACTCCTTCGTTGCCCGGGCGGTGTGTTTGGGATCATTGTCATGCTGAAAGACCCAGCCACGTTTCATCTTCAATGCCCTTGCTGATGGAAGGAGGTTGTCACTCAAAATCTCACGATACATGGCCCATTCATTCTTTCCTTTACACGGATCAGTCGTCCTGGTCCCTTTGCAGAAAAACAGCCCCAAAGCATGATGTTTCCACCCCCATGTTTCACAGTAGGTATGGTGTTCTTTGGATGCAACTCAGCATTCTTTCTCCTCCAAACACGTCTAGTTGAGTTTTTACCAAAAAGTTTATTTTGTTTCATCTGACCATATGACATTCTCCCAATCCTCTTCTGGATCATCTAAATGCTCTCTAGCAAACTTCAGACGGGCCTGGACATGTACTGGCTTAAGCAGGGGGACACGTCTGGCACTGCAGGATTTGAGTCCCTGGCGGCGTAGTGTGTTACTGATGGTAGCCTTTGTTACTTTGGTCACAGCTCTCTGCAGGTCATTGACTAGGTCCCCCCGTGTGGTTCTGGGATTTTTGCTCACCGTTCTTGTGATCATTTTGACCCCACGGGGTGAGATCTTGCGTGGAGCCCCAGATCGAGGGAGATTATCAGTGGTCTTGTATGTCTTCCATTTTCTAATAATTGCTCCCACAGTTGATTTCTTCACACCAAGCTGCTTACCTATTGCAGATTCAGTCTTCCCAGCCTGGTGCAGGTCTACAATTTTGTTTCTGGTGTCCTTTGACAGCTCTTTGGTCTTGGCCATAGTGGAGTTTGGAGTGTGACTGTTTGAGGTTGTGGACAGGTATCTTTTATACTGATAACGAGTTCAAACAGGTGCCATTAATACAGTTAACAAGTGGAGAACAGATGAGGCTCTTAAAGAAGAAGTTACAGGTCTGTGAGAGCCAGAAATCTTGTTTGTTTGTAGGTGACCAAATACTTATTTTCCACCATAATTTGCAAATAAATTCTTTAAAAATCAGACAATGTGAGTTTCTGGATTTATTTTTTCTCATTTTGTCTCTCATAGTTGAGGTATACCTAGGATGAAAATTACAGGCCTCTCTCATCTTTTTAAGTGGGAGAACTTGCACAATTGGTGGCTGACTAAATACATTTTTGCCCCACTGTAACAGTGTTTGCCTCTCGATGCAAGAATAACAAAAATGTAATGTATGAATGCTGTCAACCGTGAGTAGCAACAAAGACTGGAAATGTGAAAGTGATCCAAATGGCTCCTCTTTAAGAACGGGATTGAGTGTGTGGGACACAAACATTGCGGGGACAGCATAGGGACTGTGGAGGGAACATTCCATATTTTCCTTCTTAAATAAATTGCCTGCTAACTATTACTATAACAAACTTTGCTATTTTTTTCTTTTCCCTCTCTCCGCTTAATCCTCTAACTCACAGAGTCAGTGGAAGACATCCCATCAGTGAAAAAAAGCATCCAGCAGGCGATCAGTCAGGCCAGCAAGCTGCTGCACACCCTCAGCCACGACTACAAGAAGCTGGAGGTGAGAGACAGGATGAGAAGTAACTTCACAAGCTGGTCATCTGACCAGGATTTAGAGAATGATAAGCACTGGGAAAGTTGGCTGTGCAATAGTATGAGAGTAATAATCATTAGAGAAATGTCAGTGTCAATTTAAAGCTGTTTTGATGGCAAAACACACACGTTTCAGCTTTTCTCACTGAAACGTGATGTCATATGATTCTCTGAAGAATAGTGTAGGTGTTATCAATGTGGCAGCGTACTCTGAGAAAAATATTAGTTAGGTGCATTACTAAATCATTTATCATTCAATACTCAATCCTAGACATATTAAGATTAGAATAGTATAACATGAAATAACTATATACAGTTGTTTCAACACACTCCATTTATTTTATACAGTTGAAGAAAAGCTAGGAAAACCCAGACCCAGATGGTATTGTGGGAACTGTGACCCCTCTGGCATTTGGAGCTAGTTTACATATTTAAGAAAAACAATCACCTTTTCTTTGATGAACCCAAGAGTGAAACTAAGCTCCAAACCACAAAGTGAAGAAGCACACAAGTTTAGAGACCTTCTCTCCAATTGAGAACTTTCAGTTCCTTAATACTTCTTTACAAATCCATATGAAGAGAAATACATCATTGAAAAACCCTTGGAATCTGCACTGACAAATGTAACAGCCATGTTTCTGGGTTTGCCTCTGAACAGTCGGATCTCCTTGCTCATTGTTGGATCATTTATGCATGATCGCAGTGGAACCTAGCTTAGCATACTCTTACCCCGGGATTCCACCGGGTCCGTCTGCGCCGCGGTTTTGTTCAGACCTTCTACAGCGTCATACCCCACCGGACGCGTTTCGGAAGCGGAGCGTCTTGCGTGCCGGCTCACAGTTTTTGTTGATTTGGGCATATTTCCTGGACAGGCTACTTTGTACAGACAAAGTTAATAATAATTGTTATAGTCCAGTTATAAACGACATGAATCAAAGATGTGTTGCTGTATTTAGTGGTAAAAAAAAAATGCATTCATCATCATAATTATTATATAATTTACACAGTGCCTGTAAACCGGAGGAGAACGCTGGCATTTCTCCTCCTACTTGAAAGAGTATGGAGGGATAGGGTCTGCAAAATTACTTTATTTTGGGGATTGACTGTATGCTCAAAGCGGTCCACTTCCTGCCAGGCGCCTCTGCAACGCCTCACGCCTCGCGTCAAAAATAGACCAGCCGCCTATTTTTAGCGGAACCCAGCGCCGAGACGCTTCTGGTACTCTTCTGGGACTCTTCTGGGCCGTAACGCGGAGCGTCTGGTGGAATAGCTCCCATTGACTAGAGTGGCCGCGACCGTTGTGAACGCCGCGGCGCAGACGGACCCGGTAGAATACAGGGGTTAAGCTGCCTTCACATGATATGAGATTTGTTCTTGGCTCACCACAAGGTATGGCACAGAGCCTTGGGGTGGCAGCTAGTTAGCTTTGTTTCTATGGTTATGTCCCCTGCTTAATACAGCTGTATTCTAATTGGTTGTGCTTTGTATGGTCAGCATGATGAATTGTATTACAAAGTGCCTTATAGTTAGTTAAGTTCCATTGCCTTTGTCCCTCCTGCTCCTGTTCTCACAGCTCATTGGCTCTCTCCTATCTGCAGGACTTCATTAACCAGCTGATGGCTCTGGAGACAGCCATCACTCAGGCTCGGTCTCTGAAGGCCAAGTTTGCCACTTGTGAGGGCGGGACGGCAGAGGACACAGAAGAGCTAGAGAAGTAAGTTACACATGGTTTTATTTGAGCAGCGTGTCAGACAGAGACACAGAGAAAGACATTCTGTACAACTGTGAGGTGTTGTTACGCCAAACAGGGCCTCAAATGTAAACCATACAAATCTGTAAAGTTTTGTGACATCATCTTACACAGTTAGTTGTGACAAAATCTGTCAAAAGACCTAAACAGATGGTATTGCTGCTCTGTAGGACCACATTTTGAGAACTAAATATGTTGAGGCATCTCTTAGCTTCGATGCGCCACAAACCTGGAACTATCTCTTGTGAATTGTCTTTTTGTTTGTTTTCTTGTTCATTATAATCTGTTAATCTGTTAATGCCTATGTTAAGCACTTTGAATTGCCTTTGTGATTGTATAAATAAATAACCTGAACCAGTGCCACTGAAGTCATGTTTAACTTCCTGCTCCAGGTTTGTGAGCTCTCTCCTGGAGGATCCGGAGGTGGTGGTGCTGGGGGCTGGGCAGGGGCCGGCCGGCAGCATCATCCACAGGCTGTTCATCAACTCTCAGAGGGTAAGACCCCCCCTCTCCCCCTGGTTGTCTCATTATATGGTGGTGGTACTTCAGTGTATTGTTTCATGTGTTTTCTCACTGTGATAGTGTTAAGTAGCTTTTTGAGGTAATGGGCAACCAGCGTTTCCTCAGATCTTCAGACATGATTTCTTTTTTATACATTTCCTGTATTCGAATGTATTTTTTCTGTGTCTTTTCCTGCTGCTTTCGTGAAGCTGGCTGACTTCACCAGTGACGAGGTAACCATAGCAACGAGACTTCCTGTAAACCTCTACCCCTCAACAGTCCCTGAGTAACACAGAAATATACAAACATGCCTGGTCTCCAGATTATTCTTTTAACTCATTTGACTAATTCATACCTCCAATAGAGTTGTGCAGGAATGAGTCCTAAAACCTGGACATTAGTGAGTATTATTTACAAGATCTGTGATTAACACAAGCTGAAGAGATTTCCAGGTTTTGTTCTACGACATATAATCAGTAAATACCCCACCCCACATTACCATCGCTAAGCCAAAGGCTACAAATGTTTAGCATTGAGCGTTCCCTTGTCTCATTTGGTCGTTTTTATGACACAAAGAAGTTTCAGGCATTCACCTGTGGGGGATTTCCTGATTTATTTCATGTTGTAGAACTGGGGTTACGTACTGTAACCCAGCTTCTATGAGTATAGGCGCAGCCCTCTAAGGCTATTGCTATTGGGTAATCCCTCCTGCACGTGTGCAGCACTGACAGACTTAATCCACGCCCACCTATGACGTGGGCCCCACCTCCGGGCTCACTTCCGTATAAATAGGAAGTAGGCCCTACCATCTACTCCCACACAAACAGCTTTTCTTCAGCTATTCGCGGAGCCAGTGGGGCCCGACCCTTAGAGGGCTGCGCCTATACTCATAGAAGCTGGGTTAACTTACAGTACGTAACCCCAGTTCTATATCGTATAAGGCTTCGCCCTCTAAGGCTATCGCTATTGGGTTAAGGGCGAAGCAGGATGTAGTCTACGCCCCACTGGTTCCGTCCGTTACCAGAAGCACAAAACACACCTACTCAGTTAATAACCCATGTCCATTTCGTCTTGCGTAAATGGAGCATCACATTCCCAGGGAATATAGCATTTAAAAAATGAATATTCTCCATCAGGGAACGAGGGTAGGCTTACTTAGGCTACCTGTCGTTTATAAAAGATAGAGACCGAGTCTCATTAAATAAAACGATCAAGAGAGGGGAAAAAGGGCAGCTCTCTCAGTGCCTACAGGCAGGAGAGAGGGAACGCAATTAAAAACCCCGACATTACTCATTCTGACAGGCTATTCAGTACTGAATGTGTCAGAGAGGAATGGGAGACATCCCTCAAATAAAAACGAATAAAAGAACGGGGTGAAGACCAAGATGCAGCAGTGCAAATGTCTTCCACTGTCATTCCTCCGTGCAACGCCGTAGAGGTTGAAATTCCCCTGGTGCTGTGCGCTTTAATGTTCTCCGGGGGATCCAACCCAGAGGAAACATACGCCTGTGACACCGCCTCACATAGCCAGTGTGACAGGCGCTGTGTAGATAGAGGCTGCCCTAATGAGCGCTCTCTATAATGTACAAACAGACTCTGGGATTTGCGTAAAGCAGCCGTGCGTGCAATCTAGCCTGCCAGTGCGCGCGCGGGACAGAGGAGATGAAATGTGGCTTCTTCCTCCGATGTGTGAGGAGGGGGAAAGAAGCCATCCAAGGTTATCACTCTTGATCTAAAAGAGGGCTGAGGCCGGATGATTCCCCGAATACCGAGCTTTCCTAGGTAGATCCGATATTTTGAGAGGCTCTCAAACGGTTCAGTGCACCGACTTACAAATGCAAACCGTCCGTCCCGGAAAGTCAATGCTAGCAAATTGTAGACTCGACCCGTGTAGTTCTACTACCACTCTTCGGATTGTAGATAAATTCATACACGTTAATGTCCCGCAACACTAACAACTTTATCCGCACAATCGCCAGAACGACAAGTTTTCTTCCTTACTTTGTGACATCTAGTGGTTGTGAACGGCGAAATAAAAATAAGTGTCGCGCTCGTTCAAGCTTGCAACAGCGTCCATTTTCTCAAGGGTTCTAACGGAGGACGCACGTTATTTTCACCAGGGAAAGTCACAAAGTAATGATAATACAGACCTACAAAGAGATAAATATAACGACGGACGGGTAATTACACCATACAACGGGAGTCACGAATGAACGGACATCTACACAAAGGCTCCAGCGAGTTGCCTCTCAATGTGCTCTGCACTGCAGTATAAATGTGTTCTGCCGTAGGAAAGATCGGGTATTGTGAATGATTCGCCGGAAAGAGCCGCGTTGAAGACAGTCTTAGGACTGTCACCCACTGCAGTGCCTGGGATGCCAGGTAATATAGTATGTCAGATATCCGGCGAAAGTGTGCGCGCTGAACGGCATGAAGTCACGCCGTGACTTAGGCGGGGTCCCCCGATCGACGTTAGCGTAAAGTGTGGCGTCATGAAAGGACTCCGTTCTACATTGCGACTGCAGTGAACAGAAGAAAGAAGAAACCAAAAATGAACGGGCGCGGCGTTTTGGTGCGTGCCGCTATGTTTTTTTTTACACTTTCGTTCTTGATGTGCCCTCGCATTTTCGGGTGGGCGAATGACGTACGTAATGATTAATATATATATATATACATATATATTGAATCATCCGAGTCGTCTGGCATCACGTTTCTATTTCAAGGTACTATATAGATGATTATCACTTAAGCGTAGTTCGAAGTGGTCTTCTACTTCAAGTATAGGAAGGATTCATGCACAATGAAATACAGGGTATGATCTTAGCTCGAGTTTACTGAAGTTTGGTTTGTTTTACCAGGTTCGTTTCTTAGAACACGTGGTACTTCGACCCAATAAATGGTTTATTTTTATGGGTACATATTGTTACCTGAATAGAAATAGGATAAACTACAATGAGGGACTATAATGGGGGAGCCGACGTAAAACCTTTTCGCTGTATTTTGGCAAACAAAAACCACAAACAAGGGAATAAATAGATTTTGTTTACTGTACTATTTAATGAAACACAAAACACCGACCACATTCTGAACACAAAAAGACGGGGACGGAAACGACGGTTCGCAACGCGCCATCTAATTTAAGTTGGTGGCTGGGACAGACGGATGCAGTGTAAGAACGTAAGACGTTTAAAACCCGCACCCTGTGTTTTTATTTCCGGAAGCGGATCAAAACGAAAACAAAAATAACGGTGTCAGTTCTGTATTGTTATTGCCGTAGTGCGCGAGTTCACGAAAAAAACGCTTGTAGCGAGTTTGTAAACCTCAACCCTTGACGAAAAGAACATCGTTCGGACCGACGGTGGCAGCGAGTGCTCCATGTAACGGTCTTCGGCGCTGTGAAAGGAGTAGTAACGTGGCGAGGCCACAACATCATGCACAACAGTATTGACGGGAAATTTCGATGTTTTTTGGAATGAGCAGTCCCGGACACCTACACGCCAAAACAATCGGGCCTCCTTTATTTTACACGGACCGGGATTGTTTTTTTTTAAGTCTCAGGATTGCCCCGCAACGCCCCAACACGTTACAGCCGGTCGGTTATCTGTATCTAATCTTTAAAGCGGAGAAAATAGTGGTCGCAAGCAACGGGTGGAGAGATCGTCCCGTGTTTCTTTTTACCCGGTTTTCTCCAGGGCCGTGACTCGTCAGGGGCCCCGCGACCATCACTTGGCGTTGTAATAAAACGCATGATTGTGCCTTTGATCTTTTGGTTTCGATGGTCCCCTTTCAGGACGCACACCTTACGGACCGAATACCACATAAGTGCAACGGCCGAAACAACCTCGAGGGACGAGGACGCGCGGGGCGGGGGGGCGGGGGGGGATGAGGGAACTCGGGTCAAGACGAGACTGGAGAGCCGAGCGAGCCGGTGAGACAAGACTACTCATGTGGCAATGTCGACCTGTAGTCGACTAATAGCCACAGTCTTTACCGGCCCAATCGTTGTCTTTTATGTGGCTCATTACTGTTTGTACCTACTCTTACGAACGCACCCCCAAGGGCCCGACGGCACAGAACGCGCCCCTGCACGGGATCCGAGCGACGTGACGCTCCTGCGCGCTGCGTCGACACCACTCCGACCCGAATGACCACACGCAAAGGACGCAACGCGGGACGCACCAAAGTCGCGTTGTGTCGGGCTTTGGGTCGGGCTCGTGTGTCTGTGTGGGCGTCGGACCGACCACTCGAGACACACACACGAAGTGCGTGTCTAAGTGCGTCCAGAGCGGCGGGGCAGGGGGCAGAGTGCGGGCAGGTGTGTGTCCGTACTTTTTTTTAGAAAGTTTCGTAGCGGGTAAGTGAACTTACCCACTGCATCTTCTAAACGATTAAGAAGCGGGCTTGACGTAAGGACACCCCCTCGCCTCGTACCGCCCGAAACGTTCGGTAGCACTCGGTAGTTTCAACTCGTCTACCAAGTTTGAAAACGTACGGAGGGTTACGGACGCACGGCTTCGACCGGTAGTCGGTGTAGTTTAGGCGAAATACGTTTAGGGCCGGGTCACGTTCGCGGGATGGTTAGTTTGGCGCACATAACATACGTCTATGGCGGACGGTCAGAAAGGTATACAGTATTTTACGCCTCCTATTTTAATTAGTAGCGCGATCCTTTACAAGGGCCAGGAAATGCTGACGGTAAGAGACAAGGCGGCCCACCTGCGGCGAAGCACGTTCTGGAACGCGGGTCCCACAATGCATGCGAAAAAGGTGGTCAGGGAGCGTGAGGGAGCCCCAAGGACCTGGCTCACGTCCTCCTCGCGACCTATCGCGCAGCAATTATCGGGGGCCTCGCGTGTAACTCGCAGCGACCGGGCAAAGGGACGTATTTATGTTGCAAAAACCCCCGCCCCTCCCCCCCGCCCCCCACCCCACCCGGCCCCCCTGCGTACGGGGACTTCGCCCTTGTGAGAAATCTTCTCCGGAACCGGAGAGAGTTCTACAACACTCATATAAGTCCGCCAGATCGCCCGGTGCAGGTGGTCCCGCAGGAATGTGTCGGTTTCCCTTTGGGCAAGGTCGCGAAACCACACATCCCTTGTCCGAACCTGCAATGCAAGGGGACGGAGTGGCGACGGACAAGTAAAGGAGGTCGACCAACGACCTGTCCTTAAACCGGATATCGTGCTATTTTTTGTCATACGGCGACGGTAAAGAAGTACGGTGCAAATCCAAA